AATTAATTAATTAAAAAGTGTGGGCACTATGAAATACTTGCCCATTTTTTATATATTTTGATAAGCACACATATTCAGCATCTGAGATAATGGCCATATCCTCAAACAAGCATTGTCACTCAATACATCATTCACCCACACACAATACTATGACATGTCTATCATATGAGAGACAAAAGTTGAACCAAGTGGTGAGTGGCCAGGTTAAGGCAAGAAACAGCACACTACAAGTAACAGGTGAGATGTGATGGCAAAGAGAAGTTTCACATTTACTGGATACCAAAGAGAAGTTTCGCATTTACTGGAACATACAAGAAAGTTGCCTTATGAGCAAGACAGAGGGCTTGGCCAGGGTAGAAAATAGTTCTTTCCAACCAACATGCTTCCCTGGGTCAGTGGATGGCTGTGGGTGGTCCTAACACTGTGAGGCACTGTTTTTCTAGAGTTGTGTCTATGCTGTAATTATTGTAGACTTACCAATAATTTGATTTTTTCAAGTAAGCCTTAAAAATTATAATATGCAAATACTAAAAGGCTGAGAACCACCAAACTAGTTATCTAAGCTAATACTCCTCTGCGTTGAGTAAGTACCTACTCTTTATATACCCACCCACAGATTCTCTTTCATTTCTATCTAATCTTTTAGGAGCTCAAACCATTTGGCTGTTTTGCACTGGTGTTTGAGTTTGGAATTTTTCATTTCAGTGAATAATAGTTACATCTCTGGTATGTTCAGAGCCTGGAATCCTGATCACCTGTATTTCCACTTGCTGGCTCTCTCTCCACCAGAGCTAGAGGCCAGCTGTGAACTTTGGGAAATGGAAACCTAAAGACTAGTGAGACAGGAAGATAGAATTTGTCGACCCATGAACTGAGTCACATCCAAGGGAACTGTAACTGGGATGATTTGTAGCAAAAACAATTCTCAGGATAATCTACCTGGTTAAGTGTGGGAATCAAATCCATGAACTTCCCTTCACTTACTAAAGCCCAGGAGATTGGTGTGATCCTAGTTTGTAGTGAATTTGGACTATCTTCTGTAATATAGAGCATGACCAGATAGTTTTTTGCTATGAGTCCTTAGGTCCCTCTAAATATAACGAGGACCTCTGGTGTCAGCAGTGGAACAGGCTGGAGTTGACAGGTGGCTGAGTCTCCTTTGATGAGAGGAGAGTGTAGAGTTGTCTCATCTCCTAGGACTACTTTGAATCCAACCAGATTCTTCCAAATCCATTCTATCCTTCTCTGAACTCTATGATGGGCACCCCGAGGGCAAGGTGGGAATTGGAGGGGTCTTAAAGGATGAGGTAATTTACATAATGATAACGTCTTCTAGAAGTCAGGATTTACTGAAAAGAGGTTCTGTGAAAAGTAGAAGAAGAGTGCTGGGCATTTCAGACTTGGATCTGAGCATTCTTGAGATTATATCCAGAGAGAGGGATGCAGGCTAACGCCAAAGTGGGAAAAGACTGTATAAACATAGGGTTTAAGGTGATCCTAACATTGACATGGATAACACTTATTTAAGTCACCAAAACATGAGTAATTGATATAAACCATGCTTATAATTGCACAAAAACTATAATGGAATCCTGTTCTGATTCTGGTGTTAGAGTTCAATGCCTCCCCTGCCAGCCAGTGCTTCTGGGTTATTGCGAAGAAGTGTTTTGCACACTATTAGACTTTTTGAGAACATAAGTGTATGTAAGACAGAAAACTATGATGTGGCCTATGACATGACTAAATTCAGCTCTTTTCAAGGTATTTTAAACGGAAACGTGAAATCCTTCTCTTTTTGAAGATAATACTTTGCTTTGCTGCATATGTTATACAATTTAAAAGGTTAGAGACAGGTAGGTTTCATTTGAAGACATTTGTTTCAAAAAATCAAAGCGCTGTTGGAGAAATAGGATGATTCCAAGTGTGAGGCTGGAACTTAAAAGATGAGCCTGGAAAATCTCATTGTGCTAAAGAGCAAGGAAGTGTTCAGAAACTATTAGAGGTGGGGCAGGACTCAGAACCAACACAAATGTGCTTCATCTCCCCAAAGATGGGGCAATTTGAGCATCAATAGGATACTATTCAAAATAACTGCACAAGATTGAAATTTATACAATATGTTTTAGTCCAGGAGTTTATAATGAAGCTTAAAACCCCACACAACTCATTGATCACTTTTGGAAGACATAGGGAACCAATTAATTATTTTGAAAAGAAAGAAATAATTATACATATATCCTGCCTTTCCTATATGAACTATATCTCAGGGTAACCAAGAGTTTGATGGGAGAGATTAATATTTATATAAGTATTCCAGTAATATATGAAGAACTAATGAGAAAATGAGAATATTGTCATTGTGTAACCTCTATTGAGTTCATAGATCCAGGTCATGATTATCATGGCAACTAATGCCCCAAAAGAAGAAACAAACAGATACCAGTTATCTCTTAATGAAAATGTACTAAGCCTCTTATGAACTAGTCATATTGATGATATCAAATATGAACCTAATTAAGCTCTAGATCTAACTACCAATTTATAGGGAATACAAAAGACAGAAGAACAAGTTAAAGGGTTTAGACTGTGGAAAACTGTACTGGAAAAAACAAAACAATTTTTCACCCTCAAAGTTGCAAGGAAAAGAAAAAAGCAGGAACCAATGATTAAAGAAACTCGAAGAAGCAGTTTGACCAATCACAATATACAACGTCAGGAGAATTCTAATGCAACCAAGAAGCTGTGAAACACTGTAAGACAATCAGGGAATTGGAAACACTGGCTTTATATTTGATATCAAAGAATTATGGTGATCTTTCATAGAATAATGGTATTGAGACACTCTTTATATTTATGTTTTATATACCACTGTCCTTTCAGTTTGATCAGTTCTCACAGTTGGATTGTAGGTGTGATTACTTGTATTGAATTTTAAGAGTCAAATGACTATTTCTTGCTATTCATTTAGCAGTATCCTGAAGATAGTACACATATAGTCCCAGGGTTAAGTAGATGTTTATGTGTCTCTATTTTAGAGGAAAATATTATAAGATTGAATGCTATGCTGGCTGGATATAATTCTTACTCAGTGGGGGGGCGGGTGTAGGTGGAATACAGGAAAAATAAGTTGATCAGGAGCTGATCATTGTTGGATCTGAGAAATGTGCATAGAGATTCATTAAACTATTTTGTCGATGTTTGCGTGTGCTTGGATATTTCTATATTAAAGTTAAAATGACTTGGAAGCCATGGATCCCATAGTTCATGATCTTTTACAAGCATGATCATGTGGAACACAGCACTGCTTGCCTGTTGACATGCTCTCTACAGCGCTCAGGATTTAAGGTTGGGTCAATGGGTCTATGAGAGCAGCGCAGAGCTGGACACTCCCGAGATATGTCACACCAGCTGCTTCTGGGAATCAGACTCGACTCTCAGTGACACCATAACACATGGCATGCCTGATTAATACAGCCTTCTATATCACAAGCCAACAGCACACAGCTATTTTTTCCTATATTCCTATAAACATTGATTTAAAACTTAGGTATGCTTTCCTCTGGGCCTGGGTGTACAATATCTTCAAGATACTGCTAAATGAAGAACAAAAGCTATTCACTTGATGATTAAAATGGAATACAATTGACCACACTTTTGCTATAGCTGAGAGTACTAATAGCCAATAGGGTGAGAGTTAGCTGGGAAGCATGAAGCAGGGGCATGTTTTGTTTCTAAAAGGAATACACAGCTCAAATGTGCTCACTCAAAGAATGACAAGCATTGACTCATCACAGTGGTTAAAAAAGGGCATGCTTTATCTTTACCATATATTTTATGATTTGTAAAGTTCAAGGTGTATCATTAACCTGCTTGCACCGGTGACAACAGGCCAGTTAAAATCTTTGAAATCACAGAGGCTAATGCTTGCTACTTAACGTAAAAAAGCGGAAATCCAATTATAACTGACCAAGGTCCAGGGGCAGAGAAGGGAAAAATGCAACCAACAAAACCCAGTTCTAATCAGAATGTTTCTATGGAAACAAACTGAATGCTATGAAGAAACAGTGTTAGAAGCCTAATATTCTTCAAGACTTAAAGCAAGATTCATATCTTCCAAAATTATTCTCCAATATTCCTTTTATAATAATACTGCTGTTGCTACAGGCACTGAGTCTTTGCAGCTAAAGCATCATATTTTTCTTCATATGCTGTTCTCTGATTATTTAGGCGTTGCTTCAAATAGAAGCACTATGTTTTCAATTGCATAGCAAACCTTCCAGGGGGCAAAGAGGGAGCTTTTAATCACTTCCCCCTTCCCCATTTCTTAATGAAGTGCATCTTATGATTTTTCCCCCTAATTTTTTAGTTAGGTCAAACTGAAAATGACTCAGATGTTTGATTTTATATA